GAAGCGCCATCCGTTCTTCCCTCTGGTCTTGCCCAAACTATCACTACAAGCGGCTCCATGAAATTGACCCTCAACTTCAGTTTCGTGTACCGCGAGGACTTGGACGGCGTGAGCAGTCCACACTTCACCGAATACGCCTGCGTGTTGCTTTCACCAAGAAGTATCTTCACATGATCGGCAGAGCATCATCCCCACTCTGCCAACCGTGCTCATCACTTGAGGACGAACATCATCTCCTGTGCGAATGCAGATTGTACGAGAAGGAACGTGCTACCATGGCTCAGGCATTGCATCTATCCGGACAACCATTATCCCTGCAGCGACTCCTTGGCCCTTGGCAAACTTATGGAGAAGCTGAGGTTGCAACAAATGCGCTGACCAAGTATCTAAAAGAAACCCGGCTGGACAGGACACTTTAGAGACAAAGAGGAAAGAACCGACCACGCCAATCATTTTTTTTTTTTTTTTTTTTTTTTTTTTTTTTACACCTTCTGTTCCTTTTGTACTTGCGATTGACGCATACGCTCCTCCACTTTTGCGTTTAAGGTCAATTTTTTTTTTTTTTTTTTTTATGTTTAGTTAATTTATGTGTGCGTGAATGTTTTCACGAGTACTCTTTCTTTCTGTTCTTCTTTTCTTCCTCTCGATTCTTTATTTCCCCTTCCCTTTCCCCAGTACGAAGTAGCAAACCGGCATCATACAGCTAGGTTAACATCTTCGTCTTTCAATAAACCATTTCTCTCTCAGTTCACTAGGTGGTCACCTACTTCTAGTCGCTGAAGCTGTTCGATAACATGGCAGTGGCTAACAGTGTCGAATGCCCGCTGAATGTCTAGAAACACTGCTACTGTGATTTTGTGAATGCTGCGTTCGTGTTCTATACAGGTCACGAGATCGAGTACAGAATCCATAGCTGACATATTCCGCCTAAAACCGGTCATTTGGAACGGCCATATTCCACTGGAATCTAACCACCAATTTAGTCGCTGTAAGACCATATGTTCCATCGTCTTCATCAGCACGCTGGTGAGGCTCACTCGACGAAAAGATGAGATGCTTATAGGGGATTTTCCAGGTTTTAAAACAGGCACTAAAATTGCTTCTTTCCAGACAAGGGGTATACAACCACTAGCCCAGCATTGGTTATACATATCCAGTAGAAAGGACATTGCGTGCTTCCCAATATTCGTTAGTGCAGCCGGAGTGATACCATCTAATCCTGGGGCACTTTTTCGCCTGAGCTTTCTCAATGCCCATTTCAGTTCACTTTTGTTAAATGGCAGATTCATGATATGGTTGTAAGCTGTTGATAGCCGCGGGGATGGGGTTTTCTGATCCGTGTTTGCTATGGCTGTAGAAACGTGTTGCGTCACTGCTCTGCAAAATTCTTCGGCTATATTCATATCGCTAACACCTCGATGAAGTGCCAGCGCGCGCAATGGTTGGCGTTGTAACACCGGCGATTTTAATGAGCGAACTATGCGCCATGCTTGTATTTTCGGGGTGTTCCGTAATATTGAATCCCAAAGACTCTTCCATCGGCGTTTTCCCAAATATTCGAGCTCGTGTTTTGTTTTCGTCTGAATTCGTCGGGCTTTCATTTGATCTTCAAGTATTCCGCTCCTTCGAGCTTTTCGTTCCGCCTGTCGGCGTTGAGCACGCAATTTCTGGTACTCAGGATCTACCCCTAGATGTCCTTGAGGGACTTTTAACGTTTGTGATGATTTCTCAATGTTAATTTTCATCCCAGAAACGAAATCATCTAGTGTCTTCAAATTTGTCATCGAGTCAGCGTTCAGTGCACGAAACTTGGACCAGTCAGTTAAAACTGTATGTCTATGTTTCACAAATGGATGTAATTTTGTGTGACTTATATAGATAGGTAGATGATCGCTTCCCCTGGTGTCGCGGTCGGTATACCAATTGGCCTGAGCTACCAAGCCTGCAGAGCAGATGGTCAAGTCTAAACAACTAGTGTATCCGTTTCCTTTAAGGAATGTCGGAGATCCGTCGTTTAGAACGCAAAGGTTGTTTGAAATGAGTATTGAGTCTAACATTGATCCTCTCTTTGATGTATGAGAGCTGCCCCAGGTTGGACTATGTGCATTGAAGTCTCCACACAGTATGTAAGGTGCATCCAAAGAAGCAATGAGACCTTCTAGGCGTTTTAAGTCTGTTGTGCTTCCTGGTGGTATATATACGCAAAAAATATTAAGTACCAGGCCACGAATGCGCACCTTACAAGCAACAAATTCTCCAGAACTATCAATGTCACTCACAATTTCTACTGATGAAAGATCGGATCTTATACCTAACATTACTCTTGAGGAACGGAGCTGAGCGTTTGAGGGATATAGCACGTAATCAGGCAGGCGAAATTGTTCGGATACGTGGCCTTCACAGATAGCTAAAACCGAGAATTTGTAGCGACTGACAAAATCCTTGAAATCGCTGCGTTTTGGCATTAGGTGACGTGCATTCCATTGTAATAAAAAGGAAGTGGCGTATACCTCAGTTAGATGAGTCATTGAATGCCGTTGAGAAGTGGTTCCATGGCCAACAGAGCTTTGATGGATGATTTGGAACCGATTTTCGGGTATTCTTTGATCATTTCTTTTATGACTTCCATCATGAGAGGTAGGAACATTTGAAGGATGCCTTTTGCACTGCTTTCTTGATCTGGATGGGCAGACTCAATGTGATGCGCGGTTCTAGAACTAGTACGGCGTCGATTATCCACATGGGAAGGTACTTCCTCTTCGGTATCTGCAGTTGCTTTTGGGTTTGGTGGTATGACGTGGGAACTTCCTTGTCTAGTCTTGTGATCTGTTAGTGTTGTGTTGCTGCCGCTTGGAATTCTTTGCAGAACGTCGGAAAAGGTAGGCCGTGATGTTTTATTTTGCGTGGTCATTTTGTCACTTGCCTTGATAACATCCGGATTAGGAGCTGGAGCTTTCCGTGAAGTAGGTTTGCCATAAAAAAGCTAATTTTTCTTAGCAGCATGCGCCGCCTGTTTTCGTATACAGCCTGCATAGGTTGATACATGGCGCGAGCCGCAGTTTGCGCATTGCGGTTCACGTGGTGTCGGGCATTCTTTGTGGTGATGAGGACCTGCGCAGATCTTGCAGCGACGGGAGCTGCGGCAGTCGCGAGCCAGGTGGCCATATCGTTGGCAGTTGTAACATTGAGTTGGTGCCTCGCAGTGTTCTTGCACGGGGAAGCTGTGGAATCCTAGTTTGATTCGTGCAGGTAGTTGTAGGTCTTCACGAAATTTAAGGATTACTGTTGTCAGTGGATGTTTTGTTACGGGACCATCTTCCCGTCGAGTGAACTTCATTTGTCGTTGTGCAGAAATGACTCCGTCGTCTCGTAGGTATTCACTGAGTTGATCATCACTGTAGTCAAGTGGCACACCCCAGATTTTCCCCCGATTTTTCGAGTACGACTGTGGTACAACGACATCCACCTTGATTCTCGAGAGGGCGTTTAGTTTTAGCAAATTATTCGCTGCTTCGGCGGACGCCACAGTGACAGTTAGTCCTCCATTTTTGTCAATTCGTTGAGACAGGACTTTCTCTTGGGATGTTGCGACGATTTCTTGCGCCAACTTATTAGGGTTGACCTTCCAGAACGACTGGGATGGATCATTGAGTTTGAACAACACCGGAATGCCAGCCTTGCGAGTGTTCTTGTAAATCACCTCAGTGAAAGGTGTCTCCTCATCGGTGATGGACTGCTGGTGTTTCATAGTTTGAGCAGGTGGCTCTTGATATTCATCAGCGCGCCGTTTTCTCGGAGGTATGTCACTTGTTTGGGCAAGGCTTGAACCCGAGTCATGGGATACTGCGGTTGGTATTACCACAGGATGGGAGGTGCGTAGAATTGTTGAGGAGGCATGTTCGTGCGGTACAGTGCCAGCGGGGCTGATGACAGATGTCATCGCCACAGCGGCCGGTAGTGGTATACCGATTAACTGTCACTAAAGGGTATAAATGCTGAAAAGCTTGCCGAATGGTAGAAAGAGCAGGTTGCTTCGATCGCACTTCTTTTTTCGTGTCAGTAGAAGAATTTGTGGTTTTCTTCCGGCCAACATTGAAAACATCCACAAGCTCGGCCTTTTTTTTTAATAGGCTGCTTAGTGGGATGGTTCTTCGCTTAGCCTCGGCGGCTTTGGTGTCAGATGTTGCTAACGTTGTTCCTTTCAATGATGACGATGATAATGCGCCCTCGCAGTTTCGGTTTGCGTAACAGTTGCGGCGCGGAAAATACCGCGGTACCGCCACGCGCTCTGTTAAGACTTCAATTTTTATTTTTTATAGCTACATCTCATCGCGGCGCAGGCATGGCGCAATTCTTCGGTAAAATGACAACTTGGCGCTACATGTAGCAGGATTGCGTCCTTGGAGCAATTTGGCGGAATCGGCGCAGCACTTCCATCACTGTATTAAGTTTTATTTGAAAGGATTTAAAAAAAATGTTAATACTTATGTCAGAAAATAAACATATCTCAGTAAACCGAAAGGTCTGTGGAATCCAATAAGAAATGAGCAAAAGCTGTAGGATGATTTATTGTGTTTTGACACTTTTGAATTTCCAGTTTCAAAATTATTTAATAAAGTATAAAAGGCATAAACAAAATCCTGATGCTATATTAACATTTTTATACCCCTTATAGGATACCTGACACATACACCTACCAAGGAAAGAAAAAAATATGAAGTTTGGATATGTGCAAGTGGAGAAATGGCTTTCATAAAATATCTTAGTGTGTAGTTTATTTTGAAATAATAGCAAAACAAAACATGCAAAGACCCATTTTCCTGTTTTCAAGGCAACATTTCATGATAAAAGACGCTTATTTCATGAAAATACTCCAGGACATGTTAAACCGTCAACGTTCAAAAACAAAATTTCAAATGTTTTTTTTTTTTTTTGTGTGTGGCAGTGTTGCACTTATTCAGGGTACCACTCGTACCGACATTCATAAGGCAAGAATGTAATTCAGTGCAAGAATGACAATTTTATTGGTTCTGACAATTGAAAACAAAAAATTAATAACTTGGGTTACACAATTTTAGTAAATGTACTTACCTAGTAAAAGTTGGAGATCAGGGACAAAAACAAACGAGCCAAGTAACAAGGGAGGCCATCAGTCAAGCGGGCAGCTGAACCATGTACATAAATGTCAATCCGGAAGTTTTTTACATTGCTCTTAGATTGCTCTTGGCCAATTCTGACATTACTGAACCTCCTTAGCATGCATAAACTTTTATGGCATTTGCAATCTAACAAACCCTGACACCCATTCATACAAATATTTTCAGGGAGCACAGCAAGCATCATCAGAAACAACCGTCTGATTTATGTTTGCAAGCCTGATTGGAAAAATATTCCCTTGCTAAAAGGGCACTGCAAATGCATTGAAGAAAAAGAATAAATTATGCTTTTCTACAGCCTGGCAACACTTGCTGTGCCACTGCCAAGAATAGGAATATCATACAGAGATGTGCCGCATAATTCTCTCTCTTAAAACCACAGTTCAATTTGAGAATGCAGTCAGCTACAATACTAGCAAATTTTTTTAGAGATTTAAAATGCAAATATTTCGTGGAGAAAGCCTCATTTCACATAGCAAACGACCTAGAAAGCACAAATGCAACATTTCACCAAGCATGACTCATTTCCAATAACAAAAGGATTATTTGGTAGTAACACACCAACACCAAAAACAGATGCCACATGCATGACAGAGATACAAAACTAAAATCGACAATTCCAGGTGCATACAAAAGGAACTATCAACTGCTTCCAAATCTGCACCTAATCTTCCCAATTCCCAATGAAAGAAAAAAAAAGATTGCCAACTTTAAGATTGATGTCCAACCTCGATTTTAAGCAGGGAAGATTTTCCTCTTCCCTTCCAGCAGAGGGTCGAGAGGATATGAAAAGGAGGAAACGAGCAAAAGTTTGAAGCACTAAGTGTATGTTGGCCTTTAAGAGAAACAATAGCCAGAATGCTGAAAAGATATTGTATTAGCTCAATGTTTCGCCACAAATGCACTTCCGTAATGCAATGCTTTGTTAAGCTATTGTCAACTTTACATGACAACGAACCTCCGGTGTCCCCCAGGTGTTAGTAAGCATACTATACTGTTCTCGAAAGACCGTTGAAATACATGAGGCAAAGCCTTCATGAAAATGTCTGTCGACCTTTTCTCTGAAGCTCCTCCACATCCCCAGAAGAAAGGTTGTACAGTTCAACACAGTGTCATGCAATGATCTGTAACTAAACATGCTCCAAGCAGAAAAAAAATGTTAAACAGCTGCTTTTATCATTAAAGCAACACATAAAAAGAAGCATTCACTCTCAGAAAATAAATTTCAGTTTCTCAAGACCACAAAGAATTGTCCCGGGCGCCAACGTTGGAACAGCCCTTTCGTCAGGTCTCTCAAACGCACTTTGTCAGAAGTTTGTCGTCCCGTCTGTGCGTCTACAGTCGTAACGAACAACGCTTGTTCAGCACTTGTCACACACGAGCAACTTGCCCAGTCTGCTGCTAGCAACTGGTGCCTCTGCGTCCGGCCATAGTGATGAGAGGAGAGCAACTAGCGTCACAGGCCATCCTCAAACCGGCTTGAGGGAGAACGAGAGCTTGGGCCGCACCTTGCCCTTGTTCAGGATCACTTGCTGGTCCTGCCGCATTTTCTTCTCTTGCTCTTGCTCGAGCTTGCGGCGAGCCTCGTCAAGACGTCTGCGCTCTTCCACCATCGCCAGCCTCTCCTCAGCCTGCGGCCAAAAAAAGAAATAAAACCCCCTTAGATTATTTGGATCAAAGCAGAAATGTGGGCAGGTAAGTACAATACTGCTCTGTCGGCAGTAAAGGAGATTAGTGCAAGCAAGCGAAGGCCAGAACGGTTAAATCACCGTGCAAGGTGTCGCATAGCTGCGAATACACCTACGGCGAGAGTGTTTGGGCCTTTTCCACCTTTCTATCCCGGGAGTTCAGCAGAAGACAGACGTCGTTTGCAAATAATTTCTACGGCGTCGGTAATGTCGCCTATGATCCCTGCCTATTCAGCATCCTACTGTTGCTCTCAATGAGCAAGCAAAGAGAGACTCCATCTGCGTGATCATGCTTGTCTGGCAAAAGCATGAGGCATAGTAGTAGCATTCCGAAAGCTGCTGTCACAAATGCACTTCCGTATAGGATGCACAACATAGTTCTTTCAAAATTTGGTTGTCAGCTAAAAATGCATTTTGTGTTGAAATGTGAATGCCTCGATAAAATTGCATGCAACTAATGTTAAAATGTATCTCAAATCACCATATGACAAAGAAATGAGAAATGCTCCTCGTGGAGCCTTTCCATTTCTTTACTTACTATTATTCCCGATGTGGAAACTAGCGTAGCTGCTTCCAGTTGCCGACACGCACGAGAGAATATACTGCACAGGGCGTCAACATTTGTTACTTTTTCCAGGATCCTATTCTTTCCCTTTTTTTTTGTATGATCAGCCAAAAAACATATTTACAAGATTCTATAGTGCCAACTTCACTAAAATACGCCGGAATTTCGGCTCTTGTCGCAGTAGCCAAATAATGTCTAGCAAGTGAGCCAGGACATTACTCTACTTCGCTGAACGGACATTTTCGTCCTGTAGTCACCAACAGAGCAAGAGCGGCAAGGCGCGTCTTTAGAAAATGCCAGGACTCCAGCATGTGCTACGAACACATGAAAGGATAAAACATAGAGGACGGGGACGGAAACGGAACTTTTTTCATTTAGCAACAACATAGAATGACACAAAATATAAAAACCACCCCCCGATTTTCAACGTGCAGAGAATGTCGAAACCTTCGGGGGCCGGTTTCACGTCTTGTGCCATTCCATGCCATTGCTAAATTAAGGGACTTCTGTTTCCGTCCCTGTCCTCAATGTTTTATCCTTTCATGTATTCGATTCTATTCACCAACACGCACCTTTTCAATTATTACACCCAGCACGGGCTCCATGCATTCCGCCATGCTTTGGCTTCATGCATGCGCACGAGGTGCACGGGACACCGAGACATCGTCGAAGGTGTCCCTTCGACGACGCCGGGGCGGGGCAACCGCAGCTCGTCCCTGCCATTCTCACCTCGTCATCGACCACAGAGGCATTCGTTCAGTGGCGCTTGACCGCGGCGCAAGGGACGACGTCAAGTCGGGACGCCATACTCACCAACTTCCGTTGGGCTTCCTCCAGCTTCCTGCTGTTCTCTTCCAAAGTGCGCTCCAGCTCTTGGAGGCGCTTCCTTTCCTCCTCCTACAAGACCACAAAAGTCACAGCTGGTAATCGGAGCAGCGAGAGCCAAAGCCAGTCGCGACTCCCAAAACAGGGGAGCGAGACTTCGCACGTGTAAGCGGCGAGCGCCCAACATAGCCTGGCCTGCCGCAAGGAGAGCCGACCTGTGCCCCTCATCATGCAGGGTGCCGCAAGGCAGGCGGTTCGTCGGAAGCTTACTGTCCGACGTCCGATAACGTCGGTAACCCGTTGACATACCCCCCAAGACCCCCATAGAATGACACAGTTCGACCCTCCGGCACGGCAACTTTAAGACCAATCTAATCCTCCATGCCACGCCTACAAGAATAAGAAAAAAAAGTATAGAGAAAGAGATGAGTAAAAAAATACCCCAAACTATCCAGCTTCCCAAACTACTATAGAGTATATGAGCCCTTCCCATCACCCCCTTCAAATATACCCAAAGACTTGAGAAACTCACCGGCGGCAATCTCACCGTACCTGACGAAAACGCAATGTGGCACAGCCAAAGAGCAGAAAGATATCAGCAATCGCCCGTCGGCCCTCGTGTGTCACTGAAAATTCCACCATCCCCGTTCCCAGACCCCTTAAGTGAGGAGACCGCGAACCAAGCTGCAATCGAACACACTGCGCAAGTCGACGTTGAAGCGATCTATCCCGACCCTGTCTCCTCGTTTTCCCGCGCCCCTTCGCGTCCCTCTGCCATGAGAGACACAACGCTCCCTCCCGAAGCGACGGCGAGGACCCCGGGCCTTCTCACGTGACAAATCGATTCCGCACTCACGTGGAGACTTGGTTGCGGTTTCCGGCGAGACCGCTCGTGCCTAGAGAGAGCTTGGGAGAGACACTGGGCGTGCGAGGGAAACAGTTGGGGGCCTTAAAGCAGGAAGCTCCGCCACTTCTGCCGCTGGAAGGGTGCTCTCCGTGCCAATTCTCTTCCAGTGTGCCACCGACGTTAGTGTTAGGCACTCCTCAGCGACAAAGAATGTTCTTTAGCTTGTTCTTATTATGTTACAAGCTTTGTGTGTTTCTAGTTCCTTTTCTATGAATTTGCTTACATACTCTAGTTTTACTGTTGAACATGGCAGGTGATCAGGCGAGTCTTCGCTATGGTATATTCCTGTAAAATGTTGTTTAGACGTGCAATTTGAAAAGAAGACGAGTCAGTAACCAGATTAGACGATTGTAATTTCATTGACATGAGCCCAAAAAGTACTGTACTTCAAGTTGTAATGCTATGTTTACTGTAGCCCGGCAACACTCGTAACAGAAAGGACATTTATGCGAAGTTGATAACGGACATGCCTGTTCTGCTTGGTTGTTCTTTGGAGCCAACAAGCACATATCGTTACCGCATTGCTGCAAAGACTGTAGACAAGACTGTACAACTTTAGGCAAGCCTGAGCTTATATTCAATAAAAAGGCAAACCCTTTCACGACAGTGACGGTCTTCTACGACTATGCATTCTCTGCACAGCAATTGTGTCAAAAGTAGCTTGAGCAAGAAAAATTCACATTCTGGCATCCTGAACCCTCAAGAAGTTCTTAATATTCTAAAGAGAACAGCCAAAAATGTACTTGGAATATTTTGTCAAATTAAAAGTTCCCTAAAAAAAAAAAAAATGCGTGTTTGGTCTGGCAACATACTTGAGGGTTGTATCCTACGCAAGCAGCTCGGGCCATTGTAATGTTTACTGAAATACAAAATGAGACCTCAAATGACAGGGTCCTAAAACTTTACAAGAGCAATATAAAGAAAACTGCCAGAGAAATGCCTAGCAACATGTGCCGAGGCATAATCCTTACAATTAGGACCCTACGATCTCAAGATCAGACAGACACACTGGACATTCAATGCAACTGTGGCTTTTATTAACAATGATATATTGATAAAATAAGACTCTTTGGTTACCGTGGCAGCATGCACACTACCTTTACCTAGTTTAAGCTTTGTAGCAAGTAATTTCTCAAAACAACGGTGATATAACTACAGTATGTACAGTGAAAATGTATAATAATGCTGTCTTTATAGTATTCCTACTCATATGATGCTACAATAAATACTACCTTATAGTTATTTCAATACAGAAAATAAGCTTTGTAACAAAACAAAAGAGTCTATAATTAAAGAAAGTCACGTAACATGTCTTCATGCCGTTACAAAGCTATCACAATTAACATATACAAATGAATAATAATCTGCAGCAAGATTTTTTTAATTCTTTGAACCTATGATGCTTTGCATATCTGTTTATTTGAGGTTCTTACAACAAACAAAAGAAGAACTTAAAGGGCAACTTCACTGAAGTTAGAAGGCCAAGACAAATGACTGGTAGGGTCAATCTAACGGGACATATGGCCACAATAAATTAATAACTCATTGAAGAAAAAGGTTAGCCAGCTTACTCAAAGCAGCTAAAGTAGAACCCAGCAACATTATGATATGATGTCACTCTCATTTAGTGCACTTTTTCTATAACGATTGATTGACCCTGCATCTCAGCTGACAACTCAAAGCTGCTCCCCATGTTTTCACTGTTTCTGTCGACCGTATTGCAACCATTATTGTGTGCAATGAAAAGCAAAGTTCAGCACAACCTGCAACACTGTGACAGTTCTTGTTACAACAACACAGATTGTTACACTATGACAAATAGTTCTCTGGAGAACAATTTCCTCGACAACAAAAGAACATGATGTTTTTCTTTTTTTTTTTTTTTTTTCTGGAAACTTGTAACACTACAGCAGGGGTGGCCAACTACAGCTCAAGGCTCCTTGATAAGCCTACCTCCTCCCCTCCTTCGGCAAGATTCAGAATCCTTTTATGGTTGATGCGTCGAAAGGTGGCCGACCAACCACGGAACTATTGCGCAATGTTTAGGAGCATTTGAAGTGGAACTCCTTGAACTCGACGCAGGCGAAGGGCTGACATGATTCAGCAAATTAAAACAGCGTGCAACCCTGATGGACAAACACCTAACAAGCTGCTCACGACTGTGCGTTGTACTAACCAAACTTCGAGGTACTTGTTTCACAAATGGAGATGCACAATAAAATAACATAATCAGCAATCAATTTATAAGTAGAAATCTCTGTGGCCACCAACTGGCATAAAATAAAGAAGAAAAAAAAACTGTCACGCCTTTTTTTAACTGCAGCTCTACACTTAAAGTGGTTATTTCTTTTACGGTTCTTTTGTAAATATCTGTCTGGCCACCCTTGCACTAAGGTGTAACCTCAAAAATGTAGAAAATTGAGTGAAGTTGCCCTTTAAACTATGCCCAAAAGGAGCTAAATTGAGATACAGTACTTCATTGTCTTCCTAAAATCCTAAAAGGGGAGATTCAGTGTCTCAACAACAAACAAAGCAAACACTGCCATAAAGTCCGCTTCATCAAAGTCCAAAACATGCAGCCAATTTTCGATGCCTTGAAAGCGAGAGATCAACGAAAACCAAAAGAACACCAGAGGACAGGTCGCCGTTGGAAAGATTCCGCAATGTCCACAGACAGATGCAGTCTATGCACTGTTCGTATTCCCTCAACTGAATACCGGAAACAAAAACAAAAACGCCCAAGGCTTAGAAAAGGAAAAGATCACGTTCCGTGAAGACCGTCCGAGGACAGTGGGGCCTACCTCCTTGAGCTTGTGCTCAGCCATCATCTGGGACCGGCGCTGCTCGATTTCCTGCATCAGCTGCTTTTCCATGTGGTGGCGCGCCTCCTCCACGCGCCGCCGCACTTCCGTTTCCATGGCTTCCTTGCGGCGCTCCATCTCCTCCTGCACGCGCATTGCCACGGCCTCTTCGATGCGACGGTGCATGTCGTCTTCTGCCTTCTTCGAATCCACCTCTTTCTGCCGCCTGCAACACCATTATACACTGCCATTAACCCCTTGACAGTCGCCACCGATTAACGATCTGAAAGTGCCCGCCTAAACACAAAACTGCACACACCTGATGCCCCAGATGTTTGCTTTCCATGTTAGCTGCTGTGGCAGCATTGGCAATCACAGTGCCGGCTCTTCTGATTCAGACAAATAACGTTTCTCAGAACAGAATTCAGAGGAAGGAAGCTTATCATACGATGGAGAAGATCTCTAAAGTACCTCAGTGTCCGAATCTGAATCCGCTGGAATGTTGTGGCAGCGGATGCACCAAAATTAAACTGAGTGGAAAAAAAGTGACAACTTTTCGCCTTTAGTATTTCCATTTGATGCTTCTAAACCTGAACAGCGTGCAAGCACTATACTACTCCCACTAGATAACTAAGTGAACACCTGCACATTGACCCTTTCTTTATACTATTCCACTTGAAACAAAATCCTACCACCAAAAAACAGCTTCTGGGAAAAAAATTTAACTGTGAAAGGGTTAAACAGTCTATGGATAAAAGGCTGCACTAGCCTATACTCCATTCACCCTTAAGCTGAGGCTGCAGAGAATGCTACAAGCACAAGAGCTCGAGGTTGCTGCTTTGAAGCATTCTTCCACAGAACGAGCACTAGGCTAGAAATGTATGTCTCAAAGCCAGAAGCGCGGGCTAGCTATTGCTTGCAGCTTTGGCTGCCGTCTCAGCTTAAAGGTGAACGAACAGTGTAGAGTAAGTATTTCTTGTTCACCTCAAGAGCCTGTAAATTACACTTCATACAAGGTAGCCGGGCCACCTCAAAAATTTCTATCGCTATTTAGTTTGATTCAACTTTATTAAATTGAAGGCTTATCTTTCACTTGCCCACCAAAGGGAGTCTGTACACTGCATGACATTGTTAGCGCAGACATGACTTTGGTGCTTTTCACAGTTTACTTTGAAAGGGTAACTGGCAGGCATCAAAATTTACCACTCATGCTAGTATACTAAGAAAGCACTTTCCACCACTACGGTAGTTTTGATGACAGCAGAGCCGTCCGTATATTGGGAGAGTTTGGCCAGTGGGTGTGGCGACGGAGGCGCTGGAGAGGAGAAAAGTAAATGAAAGGGAGGGGAGCGCCAAAGGAGCGAGAGAGAAAGAAGAAAGCAGAGAGGAGTCAACCGCCATTTTTTCGCAACGCTGTTGGAGACTGGTCGGAGAAGAGCACTGCTGAGGCTACGCGTCGTCTGCTCAGGCCGACTTCTTTTTTGCCTGAATAAAAGTTTGTGGCCATACGTCGAGAAAACTTCATTTATTAGCTTTTTAACCCACTCAAGAATAACAGTATATCATTTTCTTGCAAGAGATAGTGATATAAAAGGAAATAATCAAGATTTAGATGCCGATCCCATGCATTCCGCCGGAAGAATGAAAGAAACGGCGGCCCTCCCCACTCAGCTGAAAGCAGCCGGGAGCTCACGCACATGCGCGGCGAGATCATAAGACTGACCCAACTCTCCCCATATACGACTCTGGATGACAGTTCTTCAATACTGTAAGAAAAACACACAAAACCGGTGGTGGCTCATTCGCTCTAACAATGTTGCGGAGTGTACTTTTGGAGATGTACACGACAATGAAAGCTTGCAAGGGGTAGCATGCCGATTGCACACACAATCAACGGACCCCACTCTGAAACATTGGTGACACGCAGAATATGTCCAGCTTATCATACTCGCAGACAACTTTCTGTGAGATTTCAGAAGAGAAAGAGTGTGCAAGCAGAGCTTCAATGGGTGCTCAAAATGTGCGAGCTTTGACTGCTTAGCTACAGAAAGTTGTCCACAAGTATAGAAGAGCTATGACCATGCGAAACAGTGGAAGGGAAGCAGATAACCGAAAGGCAATAGAGAAACCTGGGAACGTCCACTTGTATGTGGCAGGATGTAATCAACACGCCATAACCTGTCTCCTCTTTGTTAGTCATGACTATGCATCAGCTCATGACCTAGCAACGTTCACAATAGCCTGGCATCACTATCCGTGAAACCTAATTCAACAGCAATGCAAAACTGTAAAAGGTTCACCACCAGCAAACGGGCTCCAACTTGTTTGAACGGCATGCATATCAGGACTGGTCGTTGATACCCACACCCCTCTATAAATGATGACTCTTCTAAATCTATTTGTTGTAATGCGTTTTCTTGGATTTCGACGAAACCTAAGAGCCTAAATTCAAGATTGTTCACCTTGCCATTTACTTCAAATTACTATATTTTTTTAAAACTCAATATTTTGCCAATTTGGCCCAAGCTAGAGATTTTAAATATTTCACTATAGTACTCGATTTCAAGAGAGGGAAGATAGGGGGTTAAACGTGCAATCCCTTACATACTGCGTGGCATAGCTTTCAATTAACCCTAAGTATACAGGGTCTGTCCCAAAACTTCCCACGGACCAGTTTTTGGAGCAGCGTTATGCAATCAAGTTTTGTGTGAAACTGGGTAAAACGGGGCGAAGACGCTTGAAATGCTTCGGAAAGCCTGCGGTGACGACGAGATGAAACGAAGCCAAACGTTTATGTGGCACAAGAGGTTTTGGGAAGATTGGGAGCCTGTCAACGACGACGACCGCTCGGAACGCCCGTCGACATCACAAACAAATGTCTCTGTGCAAAACGTGCGTCAAGTTTGTGGGAACCACGTGTTCACCGCATCCCTATCTCGGCCTAGCTCAGGCAGGCCGTGGGACGTCGCCATGTGGGGGCGCGTCCCGGATGCGAGGGCGAAGCCATATTCCCTTGTGGACGGCTTTCCTTCGCCCTTCTCGAGTGATTTGCCGAAGGCACACCCTTCAGGATCACGACTTGGACGCGACTGCTCCTCCGGGGAGCCAACCTACATCCGACCCACCCCGGGCGCGTCCATTCCCGCAGGCTATATAAGACGGCCCTAATCCAACAGGCAGGACTCTCGCTGGGGGAGGCTCTGCTCGACGGAGTCTTCCTATCTTTATCTGATCCTCCCCCTCCGTGATACTGTCAATTGCGGCAGCGCGGACTCCGACTGGCGATCCTGTCAAAAGAGACAGCGCCGTCATCTCCACCATTGTTGGCCCTCGGGCAAGCGTGTGGCATTGTCATGAAATAAACACGTCATTATCTGGACCCAAGGAACCTTCTGCGTTTCTAAGTGGTACCCCCTAAAAGGGGAAACCCACAAGTTTTGGACAAGGACCGGCGATTAAGTCTTCGGATGATCGCAGAGGAGTGTGTAATACCAAAACAATCGTTTATTGCATTTTAATGGAAAATCTTCAAATGAGGAAAGTCTCCACGAAAATGGTGTCAAAGGTCCTGACGAGTGAGATGAACGTAGAGTGTTTGTTGACGTGCCAGGAATTGCATTAATGCTACAAAACGGACCCAGAATTTTCGGACAGAGTGATAACAGGGGACGGGATGTGGATTTTTGAGTATGATCCTGAATCAAAGCATCAGAGCAGCGAGTGGCACACCACGGAGTCTCCTGGCCCGAAAGAAGCAAGGATGAGCAAATTGCGAATCAAGGCAATGCTCATTCATTTTTAACAGAACAGGTGTGGTTCACAGTGAATTTGTGCCACAGGGACGAATAGTCAACAAGGAGTTTTACTGTGAAGTGCTCAAACAATTGCGCAACAGGGTTCGACAAGTCCGAAAAGAAATTCACGACAATTGGATCTTGCACCACGACAACGCTTCAAGCCACACCGCGCTCACTGTCTCAGAGTTGCTAACCAAAATGGGCGTTGCAACGCTGCTCCAGCAGCCGTACAGCCCCGATCTGGAACCACCGGATTTCTTTTTGTTCCCAAGAATCAAAAGAACCCTGAAAGGAACTCGGCATGGGACACTGGAGACGGTAAAAGCAGCTGCGACGACCTCATTAAAGAAGGTTCCCGTTGACGGCTTCTAGGGCGCCTTCAGTGATTGGGTGAAGTGTTGGCAACAGTGCATCAAAGCAGGGGGAGAATACATTGAAAAGTTTTGAAAAGATTGTAAACTAATATTGAATAAATGATTTATAAAAAAGAAAAATTCCGGGAACTTTTGGGATAGACCTTGTAGTTTTCCAGATCGACCAAAGGCAGATAATTGTTTGTATTTGTTTCGTATTTCCAGGTACATGATTGAGAAGATATGCTTCTCCGTTCATCTTGAAGATTCATATACGCTCTTACACTCAGCGTAGAAGATAAGGAGGCCAGATTGATGCCTTGTCAGTTTCGCCCTAGCACTTTCCTGAACATTCTAGGGTGAATATTCGAGATGACGAGCATAATAAAGAGCCTAGCGCCGTATTACCGAGGGATTCATTGATTCCATCTCGCGATAGCCAGCTGTTGCGCCGACGCACCATCACTATTCCCAACGCACCATTACTTGCTGATGCAGCCGTAGAGGCTCGCTGGTGCTTCCTTGACGTCTGTTGTTCTTTTTTTTGTTTCTGGCACAAATTCGCCTCCATTAAATCCTTAGTTCATTCCGATTTCCCCTGCCTCATCGTCAGTTATTCGTGACATTTCTGGTGGAAGTGCGGGGTGCCGCAGCTCATGAGTAGTACCGCTCTGAGGCCTCACCAGTGCAAGCCCAGCTCCCGGCTCAAGAAGACCGTCCGTGGAGACAACCAAGACCCAAAAAAGCCGCCGCACCAAAGATCAAACCCAGGAATTCAGACTTCACCGGACCTCCAGAGGAAGAAGTCGACGAAACTAACTATGACCTCCCAGGCCTGCAAACTGATAGCTCTGTCAGACAGCACCTAAAAGGACCGTTACGCCAAAGGCCTTTAGGATTTTCAAATGACCTTTAAGTTTTGTCGTGCCAGGCAGTGCAAGTAAATGTCATTTAGACTATGTTTACAGAGTCGCTGTAAACATAGCTTGTAGCTCGTGGCTCGTTCAAACACATAGATCACGTTCACGCCAGAAAAATAATATTTTGGTGATAGACATATATTTTTTTAAGTTGTT